CCCTCCTCTGTACACCCTAACTACTTTGGTATTAAAAATGTGGTTATATAATCTTTGACTGACACCCATCACCACATTGACCTACAATTACATTATTTTCATTTTTTTTTTTTTTTTTTTGCTATATTAAGACTCTATTTTTACTATTTTAAAGCTTTCTTGGGGGTATAATGAACATAACCCAATTTTTTCCCTATGTTCTTCAGTTTGGTTTACAGACATTTTTTATTACACACCATGTTTAGGAACGTAACTATCGTGTTATCCAACAGTCAGCTGTAATGCCAATAACTTTTGAATATAAAAAAAATTCTAATGTGACTTAATTTTCTACTTCTATAAAAGTACAGTGGACCCTCAACTAATGGTGGCATCGTGTAATGGCAAATTCATCTAACGGCGCTCTTTGGCGTAAAAAATGGTTCTACCAACGGCGAAAACTCGTCTAACGACGTTCGTCCCGAACTTATCCATGGGGCCGGAGTGTGGCCTGAGTGGGCCCAGCCACTCCAAGACTCCATGTACAGCCAGTGTGCCAGTGTTTACAAGCCGTTTCGGTCGATTCCATGTGTACCTGCAATATATTTTGTATTATTCCAGTGTCTTTAGTGCTTGTAACTGCTAAATAAGCCACCATGGGCCCAAAGAAAGTTTCTAGTGCCAGCCCTGTGATAAAGAGGGAAAGAAACACAACAAAATTCAAGAAAAAACTTGTAGCAAAGTACCAAAGTGGAGGACGACGAGAGAGGAGAGAATGTGCCTTCTGCAGTGATTCAGTGATTCTACGATATGTACGATACTAAAGCAGCAGGTATTGATAAAGGCTATAGTGCCAGCCAGCAATAAAGTGTAGAATTAACAGAGAAGCAAGTAAGTTAAATGAGTAAGCGCTAGAAAAACGACATGAAAGCCACTCTCCAATGTTGTTGGATGTGTGTACATCCGATGAACATACACCGGCCTGCTATCCTCCACTACCCTAAACCTCTGCCAGCATCTCCTCCATCAAACTAACTAATTAAACTAACATCTCCAAGGTAAGTGTAAATATAAAAGTGTAAGCATAAAAGTAAATATTCTTTCAACAAGCTGGCCGTATCCCACCGAGGCGGGGTGGCCCAAAAAGTAAAACGAACGTTTCTCTTTTTAAATTTAGTAATTTATACATGAGAAGGAGTTACTATTCCCTTGCTCCTGGCATTTTGTCGCCTCTTAAAACACGATAGCTTAGGAGGAAGAATTCTGTTCCACTTCCCATAAAAATAAGAGGAAGAAAAAAAAGAACAAGAACTGAAAGAAAATAGCAGAAAACCCAGAGGGGGTGGTATATTATGTTGTACATGTACGTTATTTTGACAAAGTGTATGTGAAGTAGAAAGACAACCGAAATCTTGCATTTTTTTCTTCTTTCAACACACGGGCTTTTATCCCACCGAGGTGGGGTCCCCCAAAAAGGAAAAATGAAAGTTTCTCCCTTTTACTTTTTAGTAATATATACGGGAGAAGGGGTTTAGCCCCTTGCTCCCGGCATTTTTAGTCGCCTTTACAACACGCATGGCTTACGGGGGAAAAATTTCTTTTCCATTCCCAATGGGGGGTAAGGGGAAAATAAACAAGAACAAAACTAGAAAGAAAATAGAAAAAAACCCAAAGGAGTGTGTAATATATGGTAGTGTGCCCAAAAATAAGTAGAAGTAGCAAGAGATCAAAATCTTGCTGTGTACGAGACAGAAAAAAAAAAAGACACCAGCAATCCTACCATCCGAAAACAATTACAGGCTTCAGTTTTAACTCACCGGGCAGGACGGTGGGCTATTTTCCCCACTTTAGCCCTATTTTCAGCATATTCCATTTTCCGGGGAAAAAACTCATACTATTCTTTAAAAACTCCATTTCTTCTATCTTTGAGTACAAAAATCCCCATTCTCCCTTTTAAAACACCCAAAAAAATGGTCAAAAAATTTGCAGGGCCCAATTTCGAAAATTAAAAAAGATCCCAAATTTTAAAAAATAGGGACCGAATGAACAATGCAGAATTTCTGGCTCAAAATAACTTTTTCTTGTTCATCGTACGTCTCCGGGCCCCCTCTGATATTACTTTTGCTTTTTTTTTTGTTTTTTATTAACAAAAAATGTTTTTACTGTTAAGCAGATACGCAATATTGTAAAAAATTGTTAAAAAATGTAAAACTCATTCTAACTGCATATTAGAATGGTAGTTTGGCTTTATTGGGGCCAAAAGACATCTTTGTTTACTCTCGAAATCTCCAAAAAACAAACATTTCCCCCCCTTTTACTCCATTCCAAAGGGCCTTTTTCAAAGTAAAAACCCAAACAAAATCATCTCTTTTCTGAAAAAATGTTTTCCATTCATCAAAAGAGCCAAGAAAACGAGAATACAGCCATAAATACTATACAGAAAAAACCTAAAATTGGCGTTTTAAATCCAAAAACCAGCGGAGTTTTTTTTCTCTTAGCACTTCATGCTGCAGGATTTTTTTTATACGTGCAACTGACCACACAGACCCATTCTCTCACATGTGGGCCTACCAGCTTTTTTCCCCCTGATTTTAAGCTGCTAGAATTTTTGAATATACATCGTCAAACACATTGGCTCGTTTAAACATGTATAAATTTTACCGAAACATTTAAGGGTTTTAAAGTCAGTAATAATCCAACAACAAGGCAGTGCAAAAAATTTTCACATTGCACAGCTAGACAAACCCCTTCTCCCCCACTTTTCAAAGCCCTAAACCTACTCGCCATACAAAACATCCACTCGGACTTACTTCTGTGCAAACTACATTAACAGAACAATCAATTCTCATGTAAATCCTGTCAGTTGCAGTAATACCCATTGCCACAATGACAGACACAAAAATCTCTATGACATTTCCCCTGTCAGGTTAAATCTTTTCAAAAACTCAGTACACATAAAAGAACCCATAATCTGGAACACACTGCCAGAAATCTCCACTAACATTTTTGAAATTACAGTTAGAAAACACCTTATCTCCTTAACCTATCCTAGCCCATCATAAATAAATATGTAAAAACCATACGTGCATTTCCTCAATTCAGCCAATTCCACTGTTCCAATTTCACAAAATTCAAAAATTGCCAATTTGAAAATAAGGTCCATAAACAATGTAGACATTTCTAACACTAAAAATGCAGTTTCTCCGTTCATTATTTACATCCTCAGGCCTCTCTTACATTACGCTTGCTTTCATTTTGAATTCTTATTCACACTACTGTCCCAACTACTGGACCACTATGACAGGGTCCTGGATGCTCTAGACGACAAACAAAATGCAGATGTAGTATACACAGACTTTGCAGATGGATCTATAATTTCCTAACAAATAGAACACAAAAAGTAGTAGTAAACAGAGTAAAGTCTGAGGTGGCTACTGTGAAATGCTCTGTTCCACAAGGCACAGTATTAGTTCCCATCCTGTTCCTCATCCTCATATCTGACATAGACAGGGATGTAAGCCACAGGACTGTGTCATCCTTTGCAGATGACACCCAAATTTGCTTGACAGTGTCCTCTATTGAAGATACTGCAAGACTCCAGGCAGACATTAACCAAATTTTTAAATGGGCCTCAGCAAACAATATGAAGTTCAATGATGAAAAATTTTGATTACTCCAATGTGGAAAATGCGAGGAAATTAAAACTATATCAGAGTATAAAACAAATTCCAACCACACAATAGAGGGAAAAACTAATGTAAAAGACCTGGAAGTGATAATGTCAGAGGATCTCGCCTTCAAAGACCACAACATTGTATCAATCGCATCTGCTAGAAAAACGACTGGATGGATAATGAGAACCTTCAAAACTAGGGATGCCAAGCCTTGAATGACACACTTCAGGTTGCTTGTTCTATTTAGGCTGGAATATTGTTGCACACTAACAGCACCTTTCAAGGCAGGTGAAATTGCTGACCTAGAAAATGTAGAGAGAACCTTCGTGGCACACATAACTGCAATTAACCCTTAACCCTTTGACTGTCGCGGCCGTATATATACGTTTTACGAGGTGCCGTGTTTGACGTATATATACTCATAAATTCTAGCGGCTTCAAATCAAGCAGGAGAAAGCTGGTAGGCCCACATGTGAGAGAATGGGTCTGTGTGGTCAGTGTGCACCATATAAAAAAAAATCCTGGAGCACGCAGTGCATAATGAGAAAAAAAAAACTCCGACCGTTTTTTTTAATTAAAAGCCCCACTTTTTGGTTTTATTTTCGTTAGTATTTATGGTTGTATTTTTGTTTTTTGGTCTCATTGATAGAATGGGGAAAAATATTACAGAAATAGAGATGTTTTTATTTATTTTACTATAAAAAGAACCGAAATGGAGCTCAAAGAGGGGAAAAGTTA